CGCTTTTCCGGGGGTAATTATTCCTTAAAAAACAAAACAAATAATGATAATAAATTGGTCACTTCAATCCACGACTGTTTGTGGGACGCTGCTGTGTGCAATTGGCTGCCGCGTTTTGCAAACAAAATATACAGTCAATTCACTTTACAGTATATTCTGTGAAGTATTTTGAGACGTCTCGAAGACGTGATAAGGCACTATATCAAATGCAAGGATTATTATTAAGTAAAATGCAAGAACTTGCACTTCCTGTAAGAACAGGAAGAATTGATTCTTTCAAACACAGATTAGATAGTTTTCTTTTAGGAAATAACATTATGGGATATAGTACATAGGTGATTCGGAATTTATATGCATGAGACCACCAAAAAGGTGGAAGGCGAACTAGATGTACCTTGGTCTTTTTTCCGTCTAGCATTTCTTATATTCTTATGCAATTTAATAGGGATGTATCAGAAAAATCGTAGAAGTAATTGTTTCAAATTCAAAATGCCTTTTGGTATACAGCATTTTTCCATGAAAAATCTCAATATTTTAAAAATCTTTAATAGATTTGAGAAGATTGCATTTGAAAATGGATAATTTGAACTATTTAGTTAAAATGTTTCCCTTTTTTAGAAAAGCAAGTTGATAAGTATTCTCTCTTAAAACATGCATCCTAAGAGCAGCATTAGCTTTCTTCGTGGACTGACCTGGAACCTCATGCTCATAGATGAGGGCCTATTGCCTCTGCAAGTCAATTTAATTTTAACCAAATTATATTATGACTCATAAGATCTTGGGTTGTACATCAGGGAAAAAATCTGAATGTTTCACAAGTGTAAAAGGCACATTTTAAAAAAGCAGGATGACATGCAGATATGGTGATAATACATTTAGTGTTACATTAGTGAAAATGTTTAGATACAATTTTTATGTTTTAAATTTTTTTTTAAACAACCATTTATAATATGTGGGATAAAGGTTTTAAGCTTTGCTTGCATTTCCAGTTGATGTATTACAACACCAGTTATTTTACAGATATGTACATAGATATGTACATTACTCTTGTGGGCTCAAAATAGGAGGCTGAAAATGAATGATTGACAGGCCATCCAGGCTTTTGAAGAGCAGAATTTTGGATTTCCTCCAATTGGGGCCTTGCAGATGTAATGAAGTGGTGTTTACTCACTACAATTTTTATTCTGCACTTTCTTGTTGCCAGTTGAGAGATCCTTCGTGCTAAATTCCTTCAATTTGAATGAAAATTAAGGTTTGTTGGGGCTATATTACACCAAAGAATTTTTAAGATATGGTTGCAAATGCTATTTGGGATTGGGTGGGGGGAAGCACCATTTGAAAACTATGAATAATACATTAAATGTTCTCATAGTAATGTTTTCAAAAAGGTTCAATTGCTACCAAAATATGAAACACAGCAGCAGGAAAAAATGTGCGTATTCTAAGGTTTATTTCTCTTGGTTCCATTTCTAATTACTGACATTGCACAGCTGTTTTTGCTATTTGTTGTGCCTATACCAGGGCTTCCAATTATATCTAATGATGGTTATTCTTGCCCTGTCATATCTTATACTAATGATAGCAGAGGCAGCAACTCTGTAACTTGAGTTCTCACCCATCCTTGCAAGCTTTATTGCTTCCCTCTCAGACAGTTTCAAAATTCTCATTTTCAAATTGCTTCACCTTGTCTGCAATCTTATTCAGCCCCATACGCTCTGCTCTTCTGACTCTGATTTAATTCTTATTCCCCATATCTTCCACTGCATTGGAGATGAGCCTTCTTTTGGACTTCCAAAAGCATTTGCCTTCCTATTTTTCATTGGGTTCATAAACTTGGCAATATCCTTTTTGACCTCAATGTTTTGCTTGAGGGTCAGCAATTCCATTTATTGGGTTCCACAATTAAATGAGCTATATAAATCCCAATTTTTCAAATGATGATGACTTTGTGGTTTGAGGCCTGTGCAGTAGTTTGTCCCTATTAATTTTAAGATGGTCTTTCTTAGAAAGAAGAGCTTGCCTTTTTATTACCCCTTTCAAGTTGAAAATATCTTACTGCAAAGGACCTTGCAATAATTACTAAAGTGATTGTTTTGTAAGCAAACACACAGCCATTTTGCTCACAGCAAGACCCCACATAGCAGTGAAATTAATTGAGTTTATTTAGAAAATTGTCTTAAGACATCGAGGCAAACTCCCTTCTCTTTTCAAATAGTGTCATGAGATCTTTAACACCCACTTGAAGACCAGGCCGGTGGGATCTTCATATACAATCTCATTTGAAGGAAAGTACCTGTGATGAAGTAGTATTTCTCCAGTCCCGGCCCTAAACTATGAGTTCAAGTTCCAACATAGGACTTGAGCCAATAGCCTCACCTAGAGCTTCATATGTTGATGGAACAATCAGTCGTCTCTTATTTCCAATTCTCATGTTGATGTGCTATAGTTTCTTACTCCAGGTCCATTTTTTTAATTATAGGAACAGATAGGACATCTTTTCTGCTATTAGTTCACAGCAGATCTTTGTCTTTGCCCCATTTCTCCAGAGTCTCTTCATAGCTCTTCTCAAGTATCTCAATATGCTTTGGCATCAAGTCTATGGTGGTCTTGGTAGTCTGGTTCCTGAACCAAGCTGGTTAGCAGTACTCCAAGGCATATTTGATGAAGGACCAGTCAACTTGGTTTGTCAGCAGGGAAGGGTCAGGTGGAGATTCTTCCCACTTCCCGTTAACCCTGCAAACTAAAGCCCTAGGGTGATCCTAGCTGCACAAGCAGAGGTAAGCTTGCTGGACTGTGATCTCAGTGGCAAGCTCTGTGTTTTTATCTGGTTAAACTCCAGAAGTACCCCCAAACACACTTTAGCGTCCCCAAGCCTCGGATCTTGCCAGCCAGTGCCCAATGCTTTCTGTAATTAGATAAGTAGGATCCATCACACCAGGAGAAAGGACGTTCCATTCCAGGCACAGAATTCCATGCGTAGATGCCATGCATATATGGAACTCAGGTTTGGATAGTTTTAAGCGTGGTAATGGGGTTCCCCATGATAGGAGAGTCAGTAACTAGGGTACAAAGTTATAAGAGAAGAGTGAAAGGAGAACCTAAGAGAAATGTTTGCATCCAAAAACTAGTCGGGGTGTGGGACGCCCTGCCAAGTAGGGTGGTGGAGGGATTCCTTTGTAGTTTTCAAGAGGGAAGTAGACAGACCTACGAAAGAGTGGCTTGAATGGGTATGGGAATATGGCCGAACGGTGGGATTGAAGCACTATCCTTGCTCTGAGTTGGTACAGGTTTGATAAACTAAATGGCCTCCGCTGGAGTTGTAAAAATCTTTGATACTATGTGCAAGAGACCCAACTGACCAAAAGAAAAGTATCTTGCTCCTCCAAAGTCTGTTACTAGAAGAAGTCCCCATTCCTAGAGATCACTGCATCTGAGATTGCTCGCTATATCTCATGTTCTGGATTCCCTTATTAAAGAAAAGTTGATTGTTATCTACCTTGTCAATTCCCTTATTATTACAATATACAAAATTTATTTGTATAGTGCCTTTCACGTCGGGAGGACGTCCCAAGGTCAAGGATGCCTTAACCTCATTGCTCGGGAATATATGCCATGTTTATCCATCCATATTACAAAGGCTCTTAATCCCAGATATCACTTTGGAGATTATTGTTGGACTAGCATCTAAGACAATATATTTTTATAATGGGGTTCCTATGATTCACTACAATATCATGGTCCTATGCTCATAGATACCTGGTCCTTCGTTTCAATTAGCGAATACTGTTATTGAAGAGAAACCACAATGGAACATAAACATCTAAAAATTCAAATCATATTAAAGCGTTTTTTAAAAAGATTCTTGAATTATCTGAATTTCGTGCATTTGCTGCAACACAGTGAAATGCTGGAAAGATTGATTGGGAAGACTTTTCAATGTGGATTTTGTTGCTGTTGTCGTTTTCCAATTTTGGCAGCAATCATCATCAAAGTAACTGCTTTTTTTTACAAAATGTAACTTAATGTTGACATTTCTTTTTTAACTCCTGTACCACTGACAAAAATCAGGATGGTTCTCATCACCCTGGGACATTGTCAAATTATTTTTTGCTAGTTTAGTCTCCAAATATTGACTTGGAAAATGTTTCTTTTCTATTGGATAAAGTTGCTGCAGTAATCTAACAAGGTTAATTTTGAATGTTTCTCGGTTGGCTGAAAAAAATACTTTTGAAACCTTTTTTAACCACTTGGACCAAATTTTAGTCGTGTGGGTCCCAATACCAAAATGAGACAGGGTTGCAGAGGCAAAGAAAATGGGAAGATTTAATATTTAAATATGAAAAATGTAAAAGAAAAGTTAAAATCATAAATTAGAGAAGAAAACATGGGGAAGTGCAGAAGTTAGAATTGTAGCAGTGTATTTATTATAATGATAATGTTGAAGTTTCAACAGCATGACTATAATGTTTTAAGCTGAATGTGAACTGATTTATTTTTAAGTAATGGTAGAACAAAATATCCCGGAGCTAGTATTGATAGAATTAAGGATGGCTTTTGTATTTGCTGATATTGAGCAACTGACAGTCTTTCAAATATGTATAATTGCTTACAATTTTCTGATTAACTTTGATTAGTTTAACGTTTTTGAAATTGTCTTAAGTGAATAGAAAAGCTGTATTCAAGTTGATTTTTTTTTCTTTTTACAAAGAGTCTGTTGCCAATTCTGGTAAATATTCACAGTTTTTACAACTGTTTGAAAGTTCCCAGAATTGACCATAGTATTTACAAACCAAGTAAAGCTATTTTTGATGTTCTGTAAATAAAAACATTTGAATACTACAATACTGCAATGCTTGTATTCTAATGTATTTATTCTATTGCAATTTTTCATATCGCTTTCAACTGAATGTCCTAACTAATCTTTCCTCATGTCCAGATCGTTCCTATGTATAAATACTCCAATGAGCAAATGGTAATTGTTTTTATGTTCCTTTATGCAGTTTAAGGAATGCTAATGGCCTGACAGCAGCAGACCTCGCTCTTGCCCAAGGATTCAATGAATGCTCCCAGTTTCTGTCCAATTTGCAGAACTATCACCTGAATGGTTCCTACACCAATGGAATCTCAAATGAGTTTTACCAGCATACTTTCACAAGTGGCCTAAACGGCTACAGCGCAACTAATCGGAAGCGAACTCATGAGGATGCTGAGCATGCTGCAGTAAAGAAACCGAGAACTGAGGGTAAGCTTTCGTGCCATTACATATTTTTTATTCTTATAGTAGCCACCCAAATCATTCCATATGTATGTGTGAATCATTATTCAATGACCATTATCAGCCATATTAAGGAAAAGGAACATAAAAATACCTTAAACAAAATGCAAAATACTGCAAATGCTGGAAATCTGAAAACAAAAACAGAAGTCGCTGGGAACACTCAGCAGGCCAGGCAGCATCCATGGAGAAAGGAAAGTAAGTCAAGGTCTCGGGTCCACAACCCTTCGTCAGGTATAAAAATACCTTATTTATAATTATTCTTTAGTATATGCCTTTTAATACTTTTGAATTTAAAAAATCTGTAGCCTTATTTTGGTCAGATGGGTGTTTGTCATGTGGAAACCCATTGCCATCCTTCAGAGTATCCAAACGAGACAAAGTTCCACATATTCATGGAAAATTTTCCCTTGTCTGGAATCAATTGTGAACTCTCTCCCCAAAGGGACACATCCTTTTTGCATCCTATTCTCTCCCTTTGGGCCTCTACCCACCCGTCTCTCCACATCTTTAACCACATCTCTGCTTCAACCTTCTCTTCCCTCATCACCCGCGTTAAACCCCGTACATGCTTCTGCGAATCCATCCCCATCTTTCTCCTGACCTCCCAGCTTCCTCCTTGTCCTGCTTACGGTATTGTTAACCTCTCCCTGTCCACTGGCACAGTTCCCACCTCCTTCAAAACCACTGTCATCATCCCCCTTCTCAAAGAAAAACCTCCTTTGACCCATCCATGCTATCAAATTACTGTCTCTAACCTGCCTTTCCTTTCCAAGACATTGGAATGAGTCTTTGCTTTCCAACTCCACTTTTTTCCGGCACTCCATGCTTGAACCCCTCCAATCTGGTTTCTGCCTAGCCCACAGTACTGAGTCTGCCCTGGTCAAAGGCACCAAATACATTCTCTCCATCTGTGACCAAGGCTCTCTTTGCTCTTAATTATTATTTGATTATTTATGGAGTCCTGTAGCTCAGTGGTTAGAGCACTCGCTTTGCAAGCGAGAGACCTGAGTTCAATTCCAGGCACAGGGCGAAACCTTGGGCAAGTTTCCTTACTCCACACGCCTAATAATAATCCCTCCAAAACCCAAAACAATAATAAATTGGTCAGTTTCAATCTGCGACTCTTTGTGGGACATTGCTGTGCGCAATTGGCTGCCGCGTTCGCCCACAAATATACAGTCAATTCACTTTACAGTGTGTTCTGTGAAGCGCTTTGGGACGTCCTCCTGACGTGAAAAGCGCTATATCAAATGCAAGGATTATTATTATTATTATTATTAATCTCTACCACCATTGAGACTGTTGACCATGCAGTCCTTCTGCACTGCCTCACCTCTCAACTCCACTGTCATGGTTCTGTCCTTTCACTCTTATCTATCCCAGTGTGTTCACGTTGTCTTTGCTAACCGCTTCACCTCTTGCCCATGCACAATCCCATGTAGTGTTCCTCAAGGCTCTATCCTCTGTGCTTTCCTCTTTACTATGTAAATGCTCCCGCTCAGTGATGTCATCCCCAAGCATGGGGTTAACTTCCACATGTATGCTGATGGAGCCAAACTTTGTCTCTTTGATTCCTCCTTCAATTCCAGGGCCAGTGTTGTTTTGAAAACAGAAACAGAAGTGGCTGGGAACACTCAGCAGGTCACACAAGATCTATGGAGAAAGGAAAGTGAATCAATGTTTCGGGTCCATGACCCTTCGTCAGAACTTTGTCAGTTCTGACGAAGTGTCGTGGACCCAAAACGTTGACTCACTTTCCTTTCTCCATAGATACTGCCTGACCTGCTGAGTGTTTCCAGCCACTTCTGTTTCTGTTTTCAGATTTTCAGCATCTGCTGTATTTTGCACCAGTGTTGTTCTGACTGATTGCATGTCAGACCATCAAATCCTGGATGAGCTTGATTAACTTTCTCCAGTTGAATGTCAGCATCTCCTGCTTGGCTCCCGTAACAACCTTCTCGCTTCAGACACTGATTGCATTACCCAGCATGAATGCTTTCTCCACCTCACCAAGCTGGTGTAGAACTTTGGTGTTTTATTTGACTTCTAACTAACCTGCCTTTCATTTCCAAGGTACTAGATTGAGACGTTGCTTCCTAGCTTCACTCTTTTCCCGTCAATCCCTGCATTAACCCCTTCAATCCGGTTTCCGCCCAGTCTGTGTCCTTTCCTGCTCCAGGCTCCGTGAGTCTATAACTCCCTACCTTGCTTAGCTCGATTGGTTCCCCATCCCCCAGCAGATTAAATTCAAGATCCTCATTCTCACCTTCCTCCATAGTCTCGCCTCACCCTGCCTATGCGACCTCAAATCTTACCAACCCAGACACTCACTTTCCTCAGTGGGCACCACCAACAACAAAATTATATTTATTTTGTGCCTTTCACGTTGGAAGGAGTCGCAAGGTGCCGGCCAGTTCAGTGTTTGCACCCGAGCTACAGGTTGGAATTGAGGGGTAGAGAATCGGGGATAGGGTGGGAGGGGAGATCTGTCCAAATTGTTTTACAAGGATTTTATAATGGAGAGGTAAATAGATATATAAGAAGCCTGTGTATGTTGTGGGGGGAGGGGGAAGAGAAAAGTGGGGTTGCGTGGTAGGGGTGCGTGGTGTCACAGGACAGGCTGTGCTGGTGTTCGTGTGAGAGAGATGGGGGCTGGCCAATCTGGTGCCACAGTGATAATAGTAATAATAATCTTGCATTTGATATAGCGCCTTATCACATCAAGTGCTCTCGGACATTAACCTGCATGAAGAGCGCTATATAAATGCAAGTTGTTGAGACATATTATCATATATAATATCAATATAATATAGTAATAATATTGTACAACTATAGCTCCTAACAGAGCAATTTTTCAGTTCATGCTTAGCTTATTTTACATGACGTCCATTTATCCGCACTGTTTGGAATGGGGCTAATCTCAGTTAGTGTAGATAATTGGCTCTCTACTGTACTCCAAGTGCTTTTATCAGCAATCTAGATAACAGGATCAGTACTTTATATTTCAGGCCTCTTGTTATAGAACTCCAATTCCCATTATCTGTGCAGATTGTTCTTTGTACCTGTGAATTATATTGTAATGATTTATGGACTTGGATCTCTTGATCCCTTAATGGGAATATATTACACCTCAGTCTAGATTTACTTTATTTGTGTAGCATTTTAAATCATTTAGAATTTGGCAAATTGTTGAATTCAGTCTTAACTTAAGTCGTGTTTTTGTAATTTTTTTAAAGTTACAGAAAGCGGACTTCAAGACGAAGGTTGTATTTAAGAATTTACCAAATTCTAGATTCTCTGAAATGCTGCAAAAGGTAAATTTCAACCTAGGTAGAATTTCTGACCACCAGTGTTTCTCCATTTTGAACACATTCCCACCTACTATTCTTAAATTCTAAGTATACTACCTCACACTTTTCAATATAAAACTCCATCTACCACAGATTGGCCCACTCAATTTATCCATATTTTTTCGTAGAAATGTTCTGCTGTTTCTTCACAATTCATAACACCTTCCAGCTTTGTGTTATCAGCAAAATTAGAAATTACAAACAAAGAAATTGTAGACACTGTAAGCAACAAATACCATTAAGCATTTTCCTGATAAGGTATATCATATTAATTAGCAGCCAGAGTATGGTTTCCTTTAAGAATCCAGGAAAGGTGGTTGAGGCGAGAACACTACACTCATTTAAAAAGCAGCTTGATGCTGTGATGGGAGGATGAGATCAGTTGGGCCTTCTTCATCCAGACTGATCTTGTGAGTCAACATTTTCCTTACCACAGAAGAATACTTGAGTGTGATATTTTTCTTTTCCACATTACATATCCTTTTGGCATCAGTGATTTCACACAAATGGTGGGCTCTCTTCTGCTGTGAGGCCTTGTCCAGTAAAATTAACTTGAAACTTCTCCCAAACCTATTTCAAAAAAGGTCTTTTACATACCCAATGAAGAGATTTCTCGTCAATTTTGGCATAATTCAAACCAAGCAAAAGTTTTTAAATGCTGTTAATTCATTGTGTATGGAAGATGGATAGATTGTAGAATGCTGAATCTTTTCAGTGAGTTAGGAAGACTTTTGCTGAAGTTATTTTGCTGGGAGTAAAGCTTTTTTTTAACAAAAGGCTAGTGTATTGAAGTGCATAGCTGGGTTTATCTGGGGTGACCAAAAAGTTGTGATACCATTACAATGTCTAATAATTCTTAAAGAAATGATTTTTTTAGATAATAGGGTAGATATCACGACTTTTGGTCACCCTGTACTACATACTTTACGTTGCTTTCTATCAAGTCAGAAAACGAGCAGCAAAGTTGGATGTTTGCTTTTTTTAACGTGATTTGCCAACCAATGTGCTGTATAAATACAGCATTAATATCTGCTGCGGTTGTCACTTGGAAAGTTATAGATTTTACTATTTTTGGAGAAAATTCTGTGTTGCATATTTTCTCTATTCTTTGGATCCTTTCTTTGGCCTAAAAGATACATGCTCTGAGAAATTCATTGTTATACCTTGAGCCTCCCACTGATACAATAGTATGCTTCTGTTTCCCAAAGCACCATATACAGCATTGACTTAATGCTTTCTCGTTTAGCCTATTGGCGTTTCTTTCAAAACAATTATTAAACGGATTAATATTTTGAAGAATATTCATGACTTGATTCCTCATTAAGTATACATTAAGTATACTTTCCCCATTTCCCACGGATTTAAAGTGAGGCCTGACTTTGCTTAGTCACTTGTGTCTCTGTAAATAGCTCTAATGATTGTTCTTTTGCTGCCATGGCTCATTTTCATGGTTATCTTTTAGTTTGTTCACCTTTATTCCCTTTTTTAATTTTTTTTTAAAATTCAAACTATCATTTTCCACATCTTCTAAAAAAAAATGCAATTATACATGTGCATATTGTAACTTAAACTAAATTTCTTAAGTAATAGATATTTGTTCACTTGGAGATAAACATATAATTTTAACCCACTGAATTTGTTTTAAAACATTTCAATATATTGTCCAAATGCACTGTGTAAATGTGATGTAACATGGTCATATTTTGCCTTTTGAATCTAAACAAAAATTTTAGAAAACTTATAAAATGGATAAGTATCTGATTAGCTTGTGCCCATGCGTGTGCACATACAGGTGTGCATGCATGTGTGCTTACAGCAAATTCCTTCTCTTTGACGGCTTAGGGATGGCAACGGACATCAGTGCAGTGGATGATCTTGAAAGCATGTACACAGAGTTCAAGCCTCCAGCCATTTCAGGTGGGACTGGAGGATTTCCAGCTGGCCACAGCGACACTCAGATCTCACAGGACATCACAGCTCAGGAAACTGGCTATTTTAGGGGAGAGGAATTTGAAGTCTTCACAGTATCTCCTATGCAGACCCCATGTCGTTGTATCAATAAATATGCATATGACTTTTGACATTTTTGTTGCGAAAAGTTGCAAATACCCTTTGAAAGTTACAATTCATGCACTAGATAAATGCTTCAGCAAATCTCCTTTACTTGCTACAGTATTGCCAAATCACAATAAATATATGTTGATACGTTGCTTTCCAATGATGCAAACTGGAATACTGTAATACTTTATCAGATTGCCTACTATTGGACATCCAGTTTATGTTTAATTCACACTTATTTTTCAAAATGTTAGATTTCCAGTTTCAGTAATGTACTGTCTGATTTGTATTCCGAAAAATGTGTCAGATGAAATCTAACTTAAAAGGAGTTTTAAATTTTAGCTCCCATCTAATGTACTGTATCTGGATTCTGGTGGTTGAGGTATTTTTGTTGAAAGGATTTCAAAACTACTCCTTTGTACACAAAAATAGATTGTTTTTAAATTAATATCTTTGATACTTTGAATTTTAACCATTCTGGCAATGATTATTGGTTCTGAAAGTTGTAAATATTAAAGTTTTCTGTATAGATATAAATGGTTACTGTTAGATCAGTTTGAGGGACAAATATTAAATTTGGGGCATTTAAGCTGCTAGCTGGTTAATGTTAAAATGTTTATATATGTGTAGTTTTAATATACTGCCCAAAAATATTATAAGACAGTAAATTTCGAGGAAGCTTCAGTTAGGTGCATAATAATTCCACTTTCTCTCAAATTGAGTCATAGTTAATTCACTTTCAAAGCATACTTAAGGTATGTTAGAGGAAATTTGCAGAAATCTACCAGAATCTATGTAAAATGATTCATTGGATTTACTTCTAATTTATTTTCAACAGTTGGAAATTTTGGCATCTTATTGCTGAAGTTTTCACTGTAGAACTGGGACATACCAACGGTGCTGCCAATAAAACAGCTAACATTTTGCAGAAATGTGTCTAAAGATCGAGTCAAATGGCCTGACTTGAAATAATGCAAATTTCTCTGCAGAATGAGCAAGGAAATTGTTTAGGTAAACATTTATATTGAATTGTGGGGTTGAAATTCCTCTTGCCATTAAGTGTAGCCATTTTGATGTTCATCTATAATGAAACAATCCAGTTTTAAGTGTGTGTTACAAAGGTTTATCCTGTTTAATGACAAAAATGAATTTTTGCCCTTAGGTTTTTAAAAAAATATTGTAGTTCCATCCTTTTCAAGATATGATCAGATGCTGGTACATGTTTCTGTACTCTTAAATTTTCTATACCTGTATTGCAACAGAGAAAAACCTAAATTTTATAAAAGCTTCAAATAGGAAGGGAAATCTAGACTTCAGCCTTACTTGCTACATGTTGTTATACATGTGATTATGCAGCGTACGTTTTATACTTTGCATTTTTAAAATGATGTAATTTAAGTTTTAGTAATTAAAAATAATATGCTGTAACTAATGATACAAGTTGAAGACGATTGATTCAAAACTTTAGGCTGTTTCAAGAACCTGAACCTTGTGATCTTATGTGAGTATATAGAGATTAAGTGCTTTTGTATTTCAATCCAATTTAAATGGTGTGAGGTTAAAAGTGCCAGGAAAACACTGGAGTGATGAGAAACAGAGAGGACAAAAGTACAATATCTACTATGAAAAATACCAGTATGTCTCTCACCTAAAACAGTAACTGATAGTTTCCATCCATACAAATCAAAGACCAATAACGCCCCAAAAATGTTTGTGCTCTGGAAGGTAGGTACGTGTAGACAGTAAGCCACTTATAACATTAGTTTTCAGTAGCTTAAAATAAATGCCTTATTGTGAATAATTACAATTTTCTTCATCTTTCTTCATCTAAAAAGGCACTGAGAAACTGAACTGCTTCAGAAAATTATGATCCTATTTGAGCACTAAAAGGGCTTTGCAAATACAAGATTGCATTGAACTTTTTTTTTTTAAAAATTAGATGTTGCAGTTGTGGCCCTGGTCCTTACAAATACTAATTAAGAAACTGTTGGAGAATGGGAAATGTTGTATAATGTTCTATATTGAATTTTTCACTGAATATAGGGGCTTAATCACTTTTTCTCTGGAGATGAGATGATTGAAAGAGGACCCGATAGAGGTGTGTATAATTATGAAACGATTCAAAAAGGTGGACAATAACAAACGAGGCGCGTAAATATGAGATGGCAAATTTAAAAGGGAATTTTAGAGAAAATTTAAGCAGAGTGTATTGAAGCTGGAAGCTGTGGTTGAAGTAGAAATCATCATTTTTAAGAGGAAATGGTGCATACGTAAGGTTGAAGGGAATCAAGGAGTATGGGAGAGAGTATTAGAAGGGTTGGAGGCTTGTGTGAAATATAAGCATTGGCACTGACTAGTTGGTCTAAATGGTCTGTTTCCATGCTATGATGTTTTATGTAATTCTTTGTATAATGTTAGTACTATTTCAGCAAGCTTCCAGCTGGCCTCGGTTAGTTGTACGTTTTGGCTATGGATCAGAAGTCTATGGGGTGATTGGCTCCTGGCATGGGAGAGTGCAATGGTAATTCATTCAGTCAGGTTCCACGTAGGAGTAAATTTTGTACTGCTATCCAAGCAAAAACTTTGGGCACAGCTTCTTTGAGAAATTGTGGTATGAAAGAATTTAAAAGACTCAAGCAAGGAGTACAGTAACATCAAGGAGAAAATAATGGCAGCTGCTACTGCAATCTCCATACCTACTGCTGACAAATCTTGAGAGATTCGAACTAAGCAGTAGGACCTCATCTCATCAATGTCAGACATTCAGTAATACCTACATCCAAATTTTACTGATAACCCAAAGTTTAGGGGTAGAGTGGTCTTTCTAAAGACCTAGATGAGCAGAGACCTCTTTTACCAGACCAAAGAGGAGTAGGAATTCACGATTTATTTTACTAATGAAAAGATCATGCTTGAAGAATAAGTTTAGGATGGTCTTACATGAAAGGACCAGTTTTACCAAGACGTTTTGTCTTCCTATAATGGTGGTAACATTATTCATTTCCTTAAAAGGTATCTTAAAATGTCTGCAATGCTAAATGGGAACTTTTTTGATATAGATATAACTTATGTTATATAACTTATCTTCCTGTGTTATGACATTGTGTTGCGCTGGGCCTCGAAATTAACAAAGGAGAAATATGATGCCACAATTTGTCATGTGGTGGTGCCACAAAATCAAGTTGGTGAATGTCCAGTGATATCCAGATTTACAAGAGTACCTGGAAAATCACCTGTATTCTGTGACTGTTTAGAATATGAATCATATACTAACAAATCTTATGGCAGAATCAGTTTAATCTGTGATTTATTGTAGTTTTGTTTTTCTCTTATTAAATTATTCCTGCTCACAGGAATAATGTTCCCTAAACCTCGTACCTAACACAAAGGTGTTCCCACCCCCATCGCTCAGTTAGCTTGAATCTTCTGGCGTACCTCTACCCCTCCACTCCCATCATTTGAGGCAGTGCTTTCAGCCACTGTGCACTATGTTGCTGTTGTATTCTTATTTTGGTACATAGGATCGGTGAGTCTTGTGCTTGGATGGTGTGATGAGGTTGACTTGTGCAGCAGTTAAATAGTGCAGCCATGTGATCACACAAACAATTTTTTATTTAAAATGGTTTAATATGTGGAATTAATGCTTCAATTCTACCCACCATTGCAAACTTCCTCCATTGAAATGAAGAATTATTTTGTTCACAGAACAAGAGAAGCTGGCTAATTGGAGTAATTGTTTGGCAGCAATACCTTAAAGTAAACCCCCACACAGATTAACAATTTGGAGTTCAGATCTGATCACTTTGCTCTTCCCTTCCTGGGCAGGAAACACCAAGGAAAGTTAGAGCGCATACTCATGTCAATACAGACCAATTTTACATTTATAAAGCACCTTTCACATGGGGAGGATGTCCCAAAGTGCTCGTCATGTCATAGGTAAAGCATATGCTTGAGATAGCAGACATCGTTTCACTAAGCATTATTGTTGTCCAATATATTGGTTCAAGCTGATAAGACCTTGTCTCATTGCCGACCATGATATCTAGCAAATTTCCCAACTATTAAATATTCATGCTACCTTTCATAATTTGTTCAAATTGAAGGAATTAGAGAGTGTTATATTATGCATTATTACATGGTTGTCTTCATTGCTTACATCGAGCTCTGTTTGCAAACTGGCCTGGCATAACTTAAAGTTTGGCCTTTTTTTGTGTATGATCACATTTTGTGTTCCTACTTGATCTGTTTATGCCTTCTCCAGTAAAATAACTTGGGTGTGTGAGTAAGATCCTTTTAAACAGGTAGAGAAGAGCATTTTGAGTTTTTTCAAAGAATGTGGACAATCATGATTATAAGTAGTTGATTCTAACATTTGTTTGAGGGAGAGGATTTTCTTTATTTGAGCAAAAGTAGCATGATCCTATACAGAGTATATCTTCCTTTTTTCTGAAGAGAACTGATTGTGTTCAATATTCTATTTGTTTGAGATCTTTCATAAACACATGTAAGCTTTACATTCAAATTACTGTAATAACTTTTTTATGTTTAGTAAATTATCGAATTTTCTCAGCAATACTTTTCAAGTTGAAGGAAACCAATTGCTTCAATTTAAATAATGTTTTAAAAAATCATTCTGTTTAGCACTGATGATGTCATTCTGTTCACAATATTGTATCATGGAGTTTGTTTGAAAGAATGGTTAAAAAGATCTGTTATCAACTTTCGTTAAAATCGTAATCTGAATACTGTTGTTCTTGATGCGTTTTGCACTCTTTGTTACAATAATAAAGAATTCTTATTACCTACCCTAAGGGGTTCCAATCAGTTAATTTAGTAACACATTCTAATTTATTTTCCTTCTTCATCTCCCTCTCCAGTCTGCCTGCTACATACACCAGCCAATAAAAACAGATCATAGGTCTGCTTTGAGACACTTGGTAATGGCAGAATTAGCTGTTGGAATGTGAGTGAGTGGTCTAGGTAGGAGAATGTTGTAGGAGAATCTCTTTCTCTCTCCCCACCCACCCCATCATTTGGCATAGCTGAAATCAGAATTTCTCATGGGATACCTGAGATTCTAGTCTATGAAGTGGCTTCCACTTCAGTCAGGAAGTGTGTTGGAGCTCCAACATGTTTTATCGCTCTGTTGCGAATGGAGTTCAATTGTCACACAGCTGTGAATTGGAAAAAATGTGATTAAATTAAACTTAATTAAGTTCTCCATTATTATGATTGGGTGTTTTCATAAAGGTTCTTGCAAATTTGAGACCACCATTTTTTAAAATATAGTTACAGTCCTAATTGACACTATTTGTACTGTTGATGGTTAAAAACATGTGGAAACGTTTAACCTTGGCAACTCTGAGATGAAATCCAGTACATTGTTGTTAATGTTAACATTCCTGGTAATGTAGTCAGTTTCCTGGAGATAGTCAATATTTCCATTTGTAAAAAGGCATACTTGGCCTTCTTGTTTTGAACAGTACAGAATTCAACCCCCAAATTGGGGGCTGCATTGCCAGCTAGTTACTCTGGCTAGAATACTTCCTCTGTATGATCAATAAGTGGTTTTAACACCTTTATAACTAGACTATGTCTCATGGTAAAGTTAGGGAGAAGGAAAATAGGCAGGGAAATAAAAGGATTATTTTGTGTTTCAGTACTACCAGTTTCTAGCACTAAGAGTTCAGAGGATATCAAACTTGCCTTCATTATTTAATATTTTCTAAAGAAAGCCAACAGCAAAGTACTTCTGATTATCTCAATTTTATCCATTTAATTTTGACACTATTTTAATTCTGAATTTTCCAATGTCTTATAATTAGTCATTGGTCCTGGTAACCCTGAGAAATATTTCAAATTTTGGTCACTCGATTTAGCTTTAAAATATTGTATTGTTTTCACTATATTCCTTTTGGTCTTTTCTGAATAAAGCAATCGGGTTAGCAATAATAGTATGTAATCTCAATTGTACCTCTGCTTACATATTAATTTTGGAATCTGAATCATTTTCTTTTATTCCTAAAAATTCAATACTGAGTATGTATGCACCTATAGCAAAAGAGTTTTTGATATTTACTAGAGACAAAATACAGAGTCAATCCACTTTACACTGTATCCTGAGAATCACTTTGAGGCGTCTCGACAACGTAGTATGGTGCTGTGTCAAATGCAAAGTTTATTATTATATCTCAAGGTAGAATCATTATTGTCTTTCAGACCTATTTTGTTTTGTAAGTGCGTGGTTGGACCTCTAGATGGAGCTCTTTGCCATTACACTGCAAAGAGCTCCCTCTTCATTAACCATGTGAGGGGGAAGAACTGGAGGGTTTTATCCTATATTGTATAGAGTCAGCTTTTTTGGTGGATTGTGAAGTGCCGTTTAACTCTAAATATAGTACCTTTCACGTTGGGAAGACTTTCAAAGCGCTTCACAGGATGTACTGTAATGTGGAGTGACTGCATGATTTGTGGGCAAATGCAGCAGCCAATTAGCGCATTACAGTGTCCCATAAACAGCCATGAAGTTATTTTAACAGATTTGTTTTGAAAAGAAACTCGTAGTGACAAGTATGTCTCTTGCCACAGATACGAATCTCAGTAGCTTCATGGAGAAAATGTTGACAAATGGAAATTCCACAAATGGACAATTACACGACTTCTCTTCGGCTCAGGTAAATGGGATGGGAAACCTGTCTACTGAATTAAGTGCTTGCAATGGTATGGTTAATCACATTGGATTAACCACTTGTAATGGAAGTGGCTTTCAATCCAATGGAGTCACTAATGGCATTGGCAATGCTGAAGAAAGTTCTCAATCATGCATGGAAATGTGTGGTTCACTTCACCAAAATGGGAGTCCTAGTAGTTGTGTGGCACTTAAGCCTACCTGGCCATCAAACCATGCTGTAGATGTTGAGGGTGAAGGAGATCCTCTGCAGTATAGCTATTATCATGGATTTGGAGATACTGCAGAAAGTATTCCTGATTTTAACAGTGCAATGGAACATTCCAATTCTATTAAAGTGGAGGAGCTGTATGACAGTGCTGTTTACAGTGCAGTGCACCTCTTCCATGGTTCTTAAGGAATATTTCTTTGATAAGTAATTTGCAGGATCCATAACTGCCAGTAGAAGATTTTGTTAATGTGATCTGCCACACTGATTTTTTTTCCCCCCACAAGTGGAAGGATACAATGTTTTTTCAACATCTTAGTTTATATTTTTATATTTGACATTATTAAATTCAAGATGGTATTGTCCTGTTTAATTGTTCAATAAGTTTTAATGCCCAATAGGGAAAAATAAAAACAGAAGTTACAGTGCAAACTGTTTTTCAGTGGTTATAAATGAGCATCTATATTTAAGATTCCCTTCAAAAGATTTACTGGTTCCATTGATAACTTTCATATTGAACGCTTGATGAATCTGATTTTGGATTCACATCAGTTACAGGAGAGTGCAGAAATTCTTTTTTTAATTCTTTCCATGTCAGTGATTCAAACTTCCCATTTCAATCTGAGTAAAAGCACGTCAGGAACTGGGATTATGATTTTGGTAAAAATTGTTTGCTTTTTTTTAAAAAAAGTTTGTTCTAGAATAATATTTGTGTCCATAAAAAGTTGGTTTCCTGCAGTTTGATGACAAAATGAAGCCTAAACATCAAACTGAACATATATTGAAAGGGTCAAGATAGCTTATGTCAATTGCATTTTCAAAACTTGATCTCGTCTTACATTCTTGTCTCATTCTAGACATACCATTTTAAATTTATATAATGATGTTTGGGCATGGCACAACTAATAGACAATGCCTACTGAAGGTATTTTTTGAGAGTTAGTTGTAGATTTTTTGATGTTTGTTAAAAATGAAATGTGGCCACTTGTTCAGTGTGATATAAAAAAAATTGTATACTTTTTCAATATTTTGCATGATGGTTAGTTTGAAGTGCATTGTTGTGTGAACATTAAAACTTCAAATATTTACAAGCTGAAAGAAATGGTTGTTTGCAAACAATTTTTTTATGTTACAAGTTAATCTACATTGAATGGGTTTAACAGTTTGCATATAAAATGGTGTTTTGCTTTTAGAAGTATTTTATTCATTTGTGTATCCTTTTCATGCCATTGTATGTTCCCTATTTTAATTGTTGAACTGACATCTAAAAGGGGAAAAAATGCTTGATTTTGTATGCTACTACTGTAACTAAGACTTTATGCATTAAAATATGTTATCCTTATTCAGTATTTCCATTTATGTTTCTTTCATTTTACATTTTAATGCTTTTAATACACCTTTTTGTTAAACAAATCCTGAATAAATTAAACATTTCTATCTATTCTATATAACGTATTTATACTTGTAAAGGAATTAGCATTCAAAATAAACAGGCACAACTAAAACAATCATAAAACCTAGGGTTCATAGTTATACAAATATCATTTCAATAGGAGGTTATAGAGATTGTTTCAAATGTAACCTAGTGGAGCAGCTCAAGAATGATGGGACTGAATTAATTACAGAAGTGGAAAGATTCAGACATCCAGCAAAACTACCTGGGAGAATATAGTTGCACAACATATACCTTAAAAAGAGTCAGCCGCATGGGTCTGGGAAAGGGCAGGTAAGTGGGATAGAAATGATTGTTCTTGAGGGAGCAAGCACAGATCGAATGGCCACCTTTTGTGCTGTACATACGAGGGTTCAATTTTGCAGAGGTAGTCTTAATGCATTGAGTTTAAATGATTCTAACAAGTAAGTAAATAGCTGGAAATCTGCATGTAATAGGATATCTTTACCATAATATTGATTTTTTAAAATGAAAAATGCTTTATTAAAATAGGTAAATAAACCATTAAACAGGAATGTAAGTCGGGTGTTGCATCGACTAAAAAGGAATCTGGGGATCTAGTTCGCTTTTACTACAACTAGGTCTCTGAACCAAAGCGCTGTATATTCCTGAAGTCTATCTTCACATCTTTCCTGCACAAACTTCCCTTTTTTATTTTAGGTTTCATAGGCAAATTATGCAATGTATCATTATTGTAACTACATTGCTATAAAATTACAAAACACTAGCTGATGCTGAATATCTGCAAAATGCCAAGCAAATTTAGAAAGGTGCGTTTTCAAGCTTCTTTAACTACCAAATTACAAGAAGGTTACATTTGTATAGCGACTTTCACGTTGGGAGTATGTCCCAAGGCACTGGACAGAGTACAACATTTCAGACCCGAGCAGGAATTGGAGGGGAGAAGGGAGGGGAACGGTGGTGGCTGATGGCATGGTGGAAGAGGAGGGTCTTGAGGCAGGACTTGAAGGAGTCTAAGCAGGGGGCGAGGCAAGTGATTGGGGCATGGAATTCCAGTGGTTGGGGGCAGAGTGGCTGAAGGCTCTCCCGCCAATGATGGGGCTGGTGGGTCGGGGACGTGGAGCAGGCCGGAGCTGGCTGAGTGGAGGGAGCGGGTGGGTTGATAAGGGGTTAGGAAGTCGCAGAGTTAGAGTGGGGCGAGGCCGTGGAGGGCTTTGTAGGTGAGGACCGGAACTGGATCCTCTGAAGGATAGGGAGCCAATGGAGTCGGGTGAGAGTGGGGAGATGGGGTCACGGAGTTTGATGAGGGAGAGGACACGAGCTGCAGTGTTCTGGATTATCTAAATAAATAAAAACTAAATACTGATTTAAGATTTAAAGGGTAAACAAAATAATTTAATGATATCATTCATGACTAACAAAAACAATTTGCATTTGTATAGCACCTTTCACGTTGGGAAAGATCCCATAAATGATTCAGATAGTATTTTTAAATATTCTGAAATTCTTATTTTAAAAGGGAGTTAGTTTTAAGATAGCCTTTTTTGTCTTTCAGCATCAGTTTCAATAATGGATTATAATTTCAAACTGCAATTCACTTTTCAATGATTAGCATTCAATAATTAGGTTATTCTTCCCCAAAAAGCTATTACTGTTTCAATAATATTTGGGGTCAGTCTGAAAAATACTGAAACCCATCACCTCAACCAAGAGTATCGAAAACATACTCTATGCATCCCATCTATACATGGATACTCCCAAGAATATTTATTGGAATGGAATGCACACTCTATCCCTGGAGGGACGCAACCTGCTTATCTAATTCCGGGAAGTATTAGGCGCAGGTTTGCAAGAGCCAAGGCTTGGAGACCCGAGTGTACAATGGGATACTCTTCGTGCTACTGACCAGCTAAAACCGCATAGCTTGCCATTGAGTCACTGCGTGGCAAGCTTATTCGCTGTCTGACGACTATCCGTTACAGCATTGGGTGACGCTGTTAACAGGAACGCAGTGGGAAGAGTCCCTGCTCCCGGTGACTGGTCTGCCTTTCCAAGTCCTGCCAATAAGCCAGCCTGGCTGTGCCTGGAATACTGCGGTAATCTATACTAATAAAGGCAAAAAGTCTGTGTGTCTGTCCACCAAGAACGCAATAACCGATTGACATAGAGACATGATTTATACCTCATTGGAAAGGTTTTGCATAGGGGAGTGTCAGGGCATATTTTTTTCGAGGGCCTATCATCGATGAGCTATATTTTTAAAAAATGCTTTAATTAAGCCCCAAAATATGTCTGGGTAGTGTTCTGCAACAATGTAGCACAATAGTCCTCCCAACAAGGAGTCCTCCCACTGAGTCCTCTCAATTGGAGGATATTTTTGTGCAATAAATTAAAATGGTCAGGTATATTTGTAGACCAATGTTATGCTATAATATGTTTGTTATCACATACAATAAAAAACTAATTTTCTAGAACTTGTCAACCTTTTATTTTGGGGGATCTCCTGTCGTTATATAAAGTATTATAACATAAAGTATAATAATATAAAGTATAAAATAACTTAATATACAGTATAATAATCTAATATAAAGTAAATACTGAAATCTACATCGCATATTGGATCCTTTGGTTGCAAACATAGCTGCAAAGGGTACAGCTAGAAATCAACACTTATTTACACAGCTCCTTGGAACATTCTTTTGATGTGAAAGGTATTATACAAACGTAATTTGTTGTTGTTAAACCGGAAAGTTTAGTAACCATTTGTCCTTTTCAAAATAAACTGGACAAACAGCAGGAGCAGGTCCTGCCTCAACACCCCCCTTTTCGACCATGCCATACCCCACCCGACCTCAGCTCAGGTCTGATATGCTGTCCAGCGCCTTGGGACGTCCTCCCGACGTGAAGGGCGCTGTACCAATGTAATGTTGTTGCTGCACAGCCCCAGCGCTGAGCTGTCGTCGGTCACGTGACGGGTACATTTGCTCTCCTGGAACGGCCGCGACGTCACCTGCACGTCACGTGACTGCCAGGTTTGTCGGTTGGAGCAGTGAACCGCGCAGCAGTACCGGGGGGGGGGGGGTAAAGAAACTCAACAAACAATTACAGACCATCGCTTTTTGACCAGATCCAACTTCTAATACTAAACCTACTGTTTGATAATAGGGTAATGCTGCCTTCACTTAGGTCAGGCTTCGTCGAGCGTCAAGGATGTTTAAATTGCAGTGACTCCCCGCCCCCCCCTCACGTTGCAGACGGTGGTTGGTGCCGGGTTTTTGCCCATCTCCGACACGAGTGGCTGTTTGTCAGTGACGCGGCCCCAGAGAGGAGAGCGGCCACAGAGGCAGAGAGAGAGAGGGGAGAGAGGCCACAGGGGCAGAGAGAGAGAGAGGGGAGAGAGGCCACAGGGGCAGAGAGAGAGAGAGGGGAGAGAGGCCACAGAGGCAGAGAGAGAGAGGGGAGAGCGGCCACAGGGGCAGAGAGAGAGGGGAGAGCGGCCACAGGGGCAGAGAGAGAGGGGAGAGCGGCCACAGGGGCAGAGAGAGAGGGGAGAGAGGCCACAGGGGCAGAGAGAGAGGGGAGAGAGGCCACAGGGGCAGAGAGAGAGGGGAGAGAGGCCACAGGGGCAGAGAGAGAGGGGAGAGAGGCCACAGGGGCAGAGAGAGAGGACACGGGCAGAGAGGAGAGAGGCTCACAAGGGGAGAGATAGAGAGAGAGAGGCTCACAAGGGGAGAGATAGAGAGAGAGAGGCTCACAAGGGGAGAGATAGAGAGAGAGAGGCTCACAAGGGGAGAGATAGAGAGAGAGAGGCTCACAAGGGGAGAGATAGAGAGAGAGAGGCTCACAAGGGGAGAGATAGAGAGAGAGAGGCTCACAGGATAGTTACGTACAGGGGGAGAGAGGAGAGAAATATATACACAGACGTACAGGAGAGACACAGAGGGAGAACCGGGGGAAAGAGAGGCGATACAGAGCGAGAAATCCAGGGGGAGACAGAGAGGAACACGGAGGCAGAGAGAGAGAGAGAGAGCCACCGAGAGGCCATTACCCCGCACACTCGCCCTCGACATGTCCACTCCGGCCCGGCGGCGGCTGATGCGCGATTTTAAACGGTAAACGAGCCGGGGTTTGTGATCAAATGAACATGGCGGCGGCGCCAGGCCCGGCCCGGCCCGGCCGCTCGGGTAACTCCACATCCCACAGCTCGGCCCGGCGAGCAGCTGTGAATAACGGGGAGGGTTAGGGGCCCGTCGGGTTGGGGTAGAGGCCGGGCCTGGGCCTGGGCCCCCGGGGGGAGTGGGGGGGGAGTGCATGTCGCGGCTCCTGGCGATGCCCCGGGTCAGATGCTGGTGTCTTGTCCCCTGTCAGGCTGCAGGAGGACCCTCCGGCCGGAGTGAGCGGCGCCCCGTCTGAAAACAACATCATGGTGTGGAACGCAGTGATTTTTGGGCGAGTATCCGATTAAATACCATACACTCGGGAATTACCACGACAAAAAAAAAACCGTTGCCTGCGTGGTCAGAGAGGCGACATGTGGAAGCTTTTACTGCTCATTATTATTATTATTATTGAAAACCCCCTCCTGAAAGCTGCGTCCCTGCACTGACATGTCCCGGGTTTAAACGCACTGGAATATGTCGTGTGGCTGCCCAGGTTGGCCCGGCCCGGCCCGAGGCTCGGCCCTCACTGTGTTGGTAGTTGAAAAGTTTAAAATTAGCATTTTTATTTTTTTTTATCGAAAAGTGATCAGGCGCTATATCAAATGCAAGGGTTATAATTATTATTATTATTGTTAAACGGGAATTCGAGTAGCTCAGGAGAGAAGTGCTAGGTTTTGTGGGTGAAGGGAGGGTTATGCTGCCCCCCCGTTGAAGTTGGGTGTCGGTTGTTCATCAGTGATCTGACAGTTAGTGGTCAGGGTCTTTTTTCATTGAGGTGAAACTAATAGCAAACCCTACCGTTGTCATAAATTGGGGGTTCTTTTTCTGAAGTTGTGGACGGAAATTGTGTTTAAAAATTGAGTTTGTAAACCAATTCTCCTAGAATTGATAAAGAAAATTCCCGTATTATTGCCTCAGAAGGTGCTATGCACAAATGGATGTTCTGGAAATCAGTTTGGCTATCTGTCACTAAATTCTGTCACGTGGAAACAGGTAACTCTGGGGCACATGTCCCAGGAATCTATTTTTAAAGGTGTGATAAAATGACTAAATAAATCAGTCAGTGATGATATAGCCACGTGAATCTTTGTGGTTCATTTGAATGTTGAAATTATGAATTAAACTTAAGACTAAATAAATTTGCCAATGGTAACTAGTAAAGTACTTTATTGTTGGATGCGTGTAAATAGAGGTAACAATCGTTCAGTGTGTTTATTGCTGTTGTGGAAGTAATGTATTTTTTTCCTTTCAGACCTGAGGGAACCCCCTATGAAGATGGTAAGTTAGTTCCCTTCCATTTACCATGCAGCTGACTAATGCATCAAACTATAATTATTTTCTGAGAACTGTTTTAAATGGGCTTTGTCTTGTTTCCTAACTGTATAAAGCAGCAATTTGAGGAAGTCACTCCTGTAATTAATTTGTTAAAATTAGAAGTTAAAAGGAATCTTTCTCATTGGCCTGTCCTCTTTGAATTCAGCTGAGCGGAAAAGTATATGGTAGCTGAAACAGTGAATTCACTGCTTCTGGACTTCTCCACCACCTTTATTTTGAGGAAATAACACAAATATTGGTGTAAACCACAAGTTGAATCTTTGGAAATGATGTTTGTGCCAGGGGACTAGTAAATATTATTCCCTATCCAAAATGGGAAAAGGTTAAAGTAGAGAATTATACGTCAGTTAGCATTAACTGAATTGTGGGTGAACTTCTAGAAACCATAATACAGGGATAAAATGTATTAACATTTAGAAGGGAAGTCATTGATCCTGTAGATTTGTATAGTGACTATTTTTTGAGTTGGTCTGTGAGATAGATAAAAGAAATGGAGTCGAGTATATATTTAGATTTTCAGAAGCTAATTGATAAGGTGCCTTAACTTGGGAAAGCATATTTGTGGGGTTTCAGCGCTATGTTTATATAAATCATAGGCAGACTGTTGAAAAAAAAATGTTGAAGGTAAATGAGTACATTCACAGATTGGCTGCATGTAGATAGTCAATGCCCGAAGAATTTGTTCAGGGACCACTTCTGATTTTCCATTTATATCAATAGTTAGGCATAGTAACATTTAAAAAATCAATCATTTTTAGCCAGTTAGGTGTCTGATATGTGCAGAAATCCATCATCTTGTTTAAGCGTATCCAAACCAGATGTTTCTCATATGTTTGGCCCTATTCTGGGTTCAGTGAAATGTGCATTCTTTCCTTGGAGAATACATGCTGTTTACTTGAGTCCAAATGGTATTAGGCACAGGTTGGCAATGGACCCCAAAGTGGATTGGGGCATTGTTCATTTAATCAGCTAAAACCACATATAATAATAATCTTTGCATTTGATATAGGCATCTTCTAGATGTCTCAAAGCGCTTCACAATATATTCTGTAAAGTGCTTTGAGACATCTCAAAAACGTGATAAGGCATTATATCAAATGCAAGGATTAGTATTATCATCACTGGACTGGCACAGAGGGTTGACTTGATTCGGACATTCTATTGCCAGGTGTGTCACCTTAGAGTCAGTTCAGCTCCAAGGATACTCTGTTTAACTCTTTTTGGTCAGACAGATGTCTGATACATGCGGAAACTTATCACCATGCTTAATATCAAAACCAAACAGAGTTTCATGCATCCCACCTATACATGGAAATTCCCAAGATATTTATTGGAATGCAGTGCACACACTCTCCCTGGAGGGATTCATCTTGCTTATCTAATTCCAGAGAGTATTAAGGCATACGTTGGCAAGGACTAAAGCTTGGGGATCCCAGAGTGAGCATTGGGGTACTGGTGGAGTCGAGAGCACTCTCTGGCAACCTTTGCCAGTTGCTTGTCCAGCTTGGTCCACTCTACCCATTTGGGCTTTGGCTTGCAGGGTTAACAGGAACCGAGTGGAAATAATCCCTGCCCCTAACTAGTTGGTATTTTCAAGTCCTGCTGATGAATCAGGATGTCATCACTAGTATCCTGGAGTACCATGGACCTACCTGGCTCAGAATCCGAACTACCAAGACTACAAAGGATTGGCTTAATTCTGACATTCTATTTCTAAATTTGTCACCTTGGAGCCAGTTCAGCTCCAAGTCCCGCTTTCCTTCCTCTCACCTGTAGGATACTAGTCAGGCATTTGACATCTGACAAGTTCAGGTTTAAGTCTGTACTGGGTGGATAGCAGATACCAGTAATACTGGGAGCTTCCTGGAGAGCAGCCCAGCTGAGCATGAAATGTGTGAGAACATTGCCACCATCTTCTTGCCCACAGCTCGGACATGCATCCCTACCTATTGAGCGATGGTTCCATCAGTTGGACGTACGGAGCTTGAGCAACACTTGCTTACCTTTCTGGATACCAATCAAGGTGGATGCCAAGCCCTGCATGTATGAGTGTGTTTACAAACTCCAGAGGTGGTTTACATACTCCAGGTAATAACCTTCCAGCATCTGTTGTCCCAAGCCATCAGGGTGGGTGGTCCAGGGGTCCAGGTGCATTGCAGCATACCATACTTGCTCAACAGTAACTGCTTAATCCAGGTCCTCATGTGACAAATAGTTGTGTCTGCCATTAAGTTGACTGTGTTTCCAAGGTGCTCAGCAGCAAATTGTTGCAGGCTGGAGCCATGTTGTTTCAAACCAAGCTGGAATCAGAACCATGGAAAGGTTACAACATAGAGTCAAGGATATAACCGGGGCAAGAGGTTATATTTAAGACTAAGCTTTGAAATCAGGCCTGCTTGTTTCGTGTATTGAAGAAAAATCAGAACGAATCTGATAAATGCTTCGAGATGCTACTCCGCATGAAGGATGTTATATAAATGCAAGTTACTGTTGTAATAAAGGTCTTCAAAATTCTGAAGGACTTTGAAATTGACACTATTAGGACAGTCACCTCAAGAGTTTGGAGGGAAAGGCCAAAATAAATGTTTTCGTGCAGAAAGAAGTTTGGTAGAATATTGAATGTTTTACCACAAGAAGTTATTGAGACTGACATTTAATAGGGAATTGAATAAACATTTGAAGACGAAGAATATAGAGTGGTACAGGAGGGAACATGGAATAAAGATTTGAATAGTTAACTCAGTGGAATAGATGACATCAGCATAGGCTCGATGGGTTAAATTACCTGCTTCTGTGCTAAAATTTCTTTGAAATAAATTTCTAGTCCTTTGTTGTCCATCCTCTTTGCCTTTACCTCCTCTACAATGATTGAAGGTCATTATGGGTACTGAGCGGATTCATGAGTATCAACAACTGTTTGAGTGTCTTGCACATCTTTGCAGATGCTATTCCTACAGTTGCTAGCTTGGTTCGCACCAAGATCCTTCTGCTAACTGCTTCCAATTCTGTGCAATGTTGAGTCGATCTTGAGAATGCTCAGAAGTTGAGAGTCAAATCTGGATCTCTAATGCAACTTAAGGGTACTGAAAGTTTTCTGTGATTTTAAAAGGCATCCTTCCTTATGCAGATATGTGTTTGTGTGTGGGGATGTGAGCAATGGAGTTAAGTTGGTGTTTATGGATGGTTGAGCTAAGGATTCCAGTGAGGAGTGCATTAGAAAAGTCGAAGCAATCCAAGCACATTAATAATTAATGGATAAATTTGTGCATCAAATGTGTAGCTGCTGTCTAACGCTTCACTCTGGCAGCATGAGACAACATTTAGAGATTGGTTATAGCAGCCATTGTTCCAGTCAACATACAGTAGATGACTTTGTGGGCAACAGCAATTAATGTGGAGGCATCATTTTTGAGGTAGGTGTCAAATGGAAGCTATGTGATTGGGAGGTTTATGTGGGCACCTAAAATGATAGTGGGACTGGTATTTACTCTGGCGGGGAAGGGAAGAGGTAAATAAAATAAATTCTGATTATCTTGACATTGTCTACCAAAAGTGGTCCATTAGAAATCTCCGTAGCTACTTTTTACATTGATGCAAGAATGTTTGAACCTCTATTAATTTTTTGACACTTCTGGGGGATGGAATTCCAGAGGTTGGAGGCAGAGTGGCTGAAGGCTCTCCCGCCAATGGTGGGGCTGGTGGGTCGGGGAACGTGGAGCAGGCTGGAGCCGGCTGAGTGGAGGGAGCGGGTGGGTTGATAGGGGATTAGGAGGTCGCAGAGGTAGGGTGGTGTGAGGCCGTGGAGGGCTTTGTATGTGAGGACCAGGATCTTGAACTGGATCCTCTGAAGGATAGGAAGCAAGTGGAGTTGGGCGAGAGTGAGGGAGATGGGGTCATGGAGTTTGGTGCGGGAGAGGACATGGGCTGCAGAGTTCTGGATTATCTGCAGCCTGTGGAGGGAGGAGTTGGGAAGGCCGACAAGCAGGGCATTCGCGTAGTCGAGCCTGGAGGTGATGAAGACATGAACAAGAGTTTCAGCGGCCTGACGGGTGAAGTAGTGGCGGAGTCAGGTGATGTTACGGAGGTGGGGGAAGACAGAGCGGGTCATGGCTTGAATGTGGGGGAGAAAAGACAGTTGAGGGTCGAACAAGAAACCTAGGTTCCTGACTGGCTTGGTGAGTTTTAGTGTGCAACCATGGAGGTTGATGTTGCCAGAGCCTGAGGCACTGGCGCGAATCAGGAGGGCCTCAGTCATTACAGAAGTGCCAGTGTTTGTTACTCTTTGAAACAATTTTCTCCTTTTCTGAGGACATTTGACTACTTTTTCCGCCTCATTCACAGTAACTTTTCCGCAAGTGTCCATCATGCATGTGAATTGTGTGTGTAGACTGTTCATTTGTAGGGGTAAGAGAGGGAGGGCACTATAGACAACTTTAGGGTAAATTTCTTCCCATCCCCCTCCCTAGCATGAAGCACTGAAACTAATTCTAGTACACCTAATACTGTCATGGCTAAGATTAGCTAACTCTGCACAGCAATTCATACCTAGCACTTTTCTAGAATGTATTGCTCAGCTTTCCACTGGATAAACTTGCTGAGCCATTGAGGGAACCCTTGAGTTAGTTAGTCTTAGTTAATTCACAGTAGAAAGGTTTTCTCTCATTCTGTACTTTCAATGCCACTGTCAAGTTTTGTTTTGTCCTTTATCCTTCTGAACTCTAATACCTGATTTTTATTATTTTAAGGAAGATAATGTTATGCTCCTTCTATACGTTTCCCATTACTCCTGGAAAAGAGGTCAGAAAAAAGATGGGATCAAAGAACATAGTACCTGAAATGTGAAACTGGGGAAGGGATAGAACAAAATGGAGATAAAATTGTAACAAAAGCTGTATCATTGTTTCAGGCAGCCTGCTGATCACTGGGGGACATCGGATAAATTTAGTTAGTTAATGGTAGAACTCGTAGAAGTTCACTCTGCAAGTTGATACATCATTTAGAAAGAGGAACGTGGATCTAGGCTCAAGGGTGACTGACTTCAAGGCTGTGGAATAAGGGAGGGTCTGTGCTTTGATTAAAAGTTGTGCTGAGTTTAGAATTACCAGATTGAAAATAGGCTTTGAGTAAATAAATAGAGCCAAACAAAGGACATGTGGAAGGTACAGTACAAGGGGTTTGCAAAATAGTAATGTAGCAAAGATCATTCAGTCTATCCATCTAATCAGCTGTGTAGGTCAATGTTCTGATCCCAAGTGTCGTATTTCTGTTCGACTGTTAAGTTTGTAACTGATCTCTGTTCTCTTAAGTAGGATTCTGTTTTTGCTTTTTTGAATACAAGTGAGTCAGTAACAGTCTATCCCATATGCTAACCATGCAAATGAGACATAGTGTATTATGTTTCTGCACAAAATCATCTTTGTATGTACTGTATTGCTCGTGCATCAAATGCTTGAATCGTGTGTAGAATTATTTCCTTCTAATAGAGCAAGATGGGTTTTCACAAAGCCTTTTTATAATTTGACGATCTCAGACCCAGAGAAATTGCTACAATGAACAGTACAGTAAAATAAAGCTTCCTGGATTAAAATAATCACCAATTACTCTTAATAATTAATTGCTCATTCAGATGATTTAGAAATAATTTACAGTGAATACTAAGTGGTAACTATAGCAGTAAATTAAAAGAGTGAAACAAATTAAAGTACTAGGAGAGTATGACATGTTTAGCATGTTGGAAGGTGTTGAATTGGAAAATTAAAGATTCCTTGTTCTTGGGTTACATCTGCAGTTGGGATATTCTGGATTGAAAATGTTGGCATAAACCTGAAAGGTGTGATAACGTAATGGGCTTTCTTTAAATTTACATGTGTGAAGTGGCCATTGTTTAGTTGCTCACTCTTAAATACAGTATGTAGCAGTTATTGGTACTTGTTTGATTCTGTTTCTGGGACTGGAGAAAATCTGGTTCACAGTCGAAATAGCCTAAAAAATTCAGGGGCATTTGAAAACTACCTTTTGCAGTTTGGATAGTTCCAAGTACTCAGAATTTAGTGGTTTCCTGTGTTTTTGGTAATTCATATCTTTTGTCTCACTGAAAATACAAAAAAAAGAATATGTGCTCTTGCATCATATTGTACAAATAGCATTTAATGGATTTTTCAGTTCTAATGAGATAATTTAAACTATTTAAAGAATTAATGTCAAATATATTAAAACATCTGTGTTTGAAATATGTTCTTATTTTGCAGGCACTTTCAAGCTAACAATAGAATTTACAGAAGAATATCCAAATAAACCTCCCACAGTTAGATTTGTCTCTAAAATGTTTCATCCAAATGGTATGTATTTTTTTAAAAAAACAAATCTGAATAGTATTTAGGATAGTAATGTAGTGAAGTAAGATTTTATTAAACTCATCCAATTGTAGGAAATGCAAGAAGAGAATGCATATCCATGCTGCTTAATCACGTAGAGGAAATGCCGCAAGAACACTGCTGTTTTACATTTTAACTAGTTGGACCTGAGGTGCACCTGTCCTGGTATATCACTTTGGGTTTTCATTCTTACTATTGTTGCAAGTCATTCTCCTAAGAACAGTAGTCCTATAGTCTTATCCTTTTTTCTGCAGTTTTTGCCAAACTTCCAAACTCCTATCAGCATGGAGCCAGGATGGGGTGCTTCTGGCCCAAACCAATTAGAATTGATATTACATGTAAACTGTTTGTTCGGCCACATTTAAATTTGAAACCTACAACAGTCACTTCCAGTCATCTTGGTCAATGTTGGCCTCTAGATTTGCCTTGGATACTTTCCAGTGATTAACTGACCATTCCATGTATTGGGAATCTCACTTTCTGAAGGTTAGAACTTGCTGCAGGCTTTACAGTTCATTATGAGTATTTGAGGTGATTGCTGAAGAAGACCGAATTGCATTATTTAATGTTGAATACTTTATTGAGGTCACAAGAATTGGACTTCTTGATTACTACACAACTGAATAGGTTAAACACAAAAGTTCTTAAACATATAATGTAATAATAATAATTTTTTAATAATTTGGCAGATACCTTACTTGCATTGTATTCTATGGCACCATTTATAAAAATCATTGCATTGTATTTACTGTAGTGCCTTGTGTTGTTGAACATCTCAAATGCTTCATAGGAATTTACTGCAAAGTGGAGTGGCTTTATTTGTAGACTAGTAAATAAGCCAATTTGCATACAAAAGTGTCCCACAAACCTCCATGAATTGAATGACCAATTTTATCTTGGATTGTTGGAAAGGACACGGGGAGAATTTCCCTTATCTTTTCAAATCGTGTTATGGGTTCTTTATCGTCAACCTGAACAGGTTTATTGTCTCATTCGAAGGACAGCCTCTCTGACAATCCTGGACTCTCCCAGCATTGGGTCAAAGTCTCATCTTAGACTTTTTACCTGGAGTTAAATGATCCAAGTAAAGAAGATAGAAAGCAACTGGAAAACACAATGTCCTCCATACCCACCTAGGACTTGTTTGTCAGTTAGCAACTGGATTTCCCACACAATTTATGCCTGGCTAGATGGGAGAGACTTTGCAGGAAATTATCAGCATAGGTTTGAGGATATAAAATTTCCTCTGGTTGGAGTGCTTCTTGCAGAGGTCCTTCTGGCCTTAGAGGTGCAAAAAATGTTTTCAGCGGTAATAAAAGAGTTAATTTAGGCTAGATGAGATTTTGTAATGAGATATTTCTCTCACTACTACTTTGTTCCCAATAGGACAAAGTGTTTCTTTAGCAGATCAAAAGATCTTCAGAAAGAATCATGGCTTTACAATGAAATAGGATTGTCACAAAAAGTGCTAGGTGTTAAAATGTATAGTGAGTCAGCTTCCAGAACTAATTGTGTTTGGCCTGTCTTCAGTGCTTGTCTGTAGTGACAGGTTGCAGCATCTGTTTCAGTACCTAAATCTTCTCAGAGCTGAGGTCTTTAAAAATGAATGGTAGCCTTTCCCTTGTGTGCTGGAGTACCAAATGATTTGACTAGCCATGATAATTCCATTGAATGTTATAAAAGAATAACAAGCTTGTATGCATGGTAATACAAGTTGAAGTGCTAATTCCAGCAATGGGTGAACAATGCATATTGCACACATGAAACCATTTGAATACATTCAGAAAGGAATAAAGTAAGAATTGGCCATTGCTGTGTTTGGTATGCTGTGTTTTATGTTTTTAAATGTTAATAATCCTGAATCATGTAACCATAATCTTTGTTCCAGCAGTGTGAAATTTGGTTCTACTATTCCCACATTTTATAAAAGATTTATTCTTATAACCCAAGAATTTGTTAAACTGGGTTAGTTATGTAAATGCTCTTGAGTTCATAATTTATTGAAAAATAGTGTTAATGTTTGCTCTCTTTTGACATCTTAATAATTTTAGACATGGCAGACCCTTTGCTTTCCAAATAAAATTGTGTAAATTGTGCAACAGAATGTCATAGCTCAGTCCTGTAGCTCAGTGGTTAAGGCACTCGCCTCGCAAGCGAGAGACCCGAGTTTGATTCCTGGCAGGTTTTCTTACTTCACACGCCACTATTTACCTGGCAGTAAGTAGGAACCCGGTTGTTAGTTGATTGGCGGATCGCTTCTCCGAGGATAACAAATATAGTCAATTCACTTTGCAGTATATTCTGTGAAGCGCTTTGAGATGTCTAGAAGACGTGAAAAGCACTGTAGCAAATACAAGGATTATTATAGCAGTGCTATTCTTCTGTAGTATAAGAAGTATTACAATAATGCAATTTAGTTGCTGTTGGAATTTGTTTTCCCTGTATTTATTGGAATTATTTGCTTTTTTTAGTTTATGCAGATGGTAGCATATGTCTTGATATTCTACAAAATCGTTGGAGTCCAACTTATGATGTATCTTCAATTCTTACTTCAATACAGGTTGGTGCAATAAGTCTTAACAGATCTATGGATTATATCAACTTGTATGTAATTCTAAGGATATTCATATTTACAGCCACTCTTTGTAGCTCTATAATAATCTTCATCAGAAATTATGTAGTCATATGAAGATTAGAAGCAGACTGTGGGTGACTTATGGAATTGTTTTTATTGCCACTAATGTTGTTAATTTTTTTCCTTCTTTCCCTTCTATTAGTCTTTATTGGATGAGCCTAATCCAAATAGTCCAGCAAACAGCCAGGCTGCACAATTGTATCAGGAGAACAAACGGGAATATGAAAAGCGAGTTTCTGCAATAGTAGAACAGAGCTGGAGAGACAGTTGACCTGCTGGCAGAAAGGAACACTGTTAATGTTAATGTCCTAAAAGTTGTGGTGTTTAAAGCACTTTTTTCCTTAATCGTGCTGTTTTGTCACAAGCTCTGGCACCTCTTGCACAGAGACGATCATTACTCAAGAGTTTGCATTCACTACAAAGTAGTGTTGAATGTAGTAACTAAACAGTGGGCAGTTTTTTTTAAAAGTGTTTTTCATTGGTTTAATTGCAATTTAGTTATCGGTGCTATAAGCAACAGCATTGATATACCTTAGGTTTTACTTGCTGCCATAGTGCATACCAGTAAATGGCCATGCTGTTTAATACGACTGTTCACTTGAAGGTAAGCCTTGCAGGTATCAGTTTAATCGCTGTACATCATATGGTATTTTGCTAAATATGAACAGCTGGGTGCGGGGAATAATTTGCTTACTTCTGTGCTGTTGCCATCAAAGCAACTAATATCACACAAGATGACACTTTGTTTGGTGATCAATGTTAAACATGCTACAATTGGTGAAATGTTTTTTTTCTTGCATCCTTACTCAATATCAGTCTTCAGGAGGAGGGATAGATGCATTTTCTTTAAAAAAAACAAAGTGTTCCCAGAATTTATAGGTAGCACTGCCTTTTTAGGCCAAAATGTTGTGCATTCATTCTGCAATGTTGTGGGCATACTTTTTCTTTTTGCATGGAAAAGACTTATCAACTGTTCTGTCTTGTTATTGAATACATTTTGCTGTATATAGCAAACTTTTAAAAGGATTCAGAATTTGCACTGGTGATTCTTGTCAAACTACATTTTCTCACCACTTGTGAATAAAACGTAACCTTATTAAAAGATTGAATGTAGCATTTACTTTTTTAAAATTCATATTGAATTAAGAACTGAATTGGAAGTTTGGTCCTTTAGAGGTTCAAATGTAGGTTTAGCAACAGATATTTAATTACATAGAATTACACAGTACATCAAAGCCCAGAAACTACCCCATGCAGGTGTTTATACAACAAATTAATTTCTATAGGGCCCTTTACCCGGGTAGTGTCTTGTGCTTAAACTGCTCCTTATCCTCTACCCCTCCTAATCCCCTCTCATCCCCTCTATGCACCTCTCCCTTATATATTTTATCACATTTTCTTTCAAATATGTTGAGGTTTTTTGCTTCAATCATAGCTTCCAACAGTGAGTCACATTTTCATTGGCCTCTGCATAAAAACTAAACTTCATTTATTATGCACTATTATGCATTATTATGCATCTTAAACCACCACCAATGTTCTGAACTCGCCAACAAATCGAAACCGCCTATTAGCATCTACTTTATTTAATCCTTCCAGAATTTTAACTTCTATCATATTCTTTTCATCAGCCACAGACAGTTGGTTATATAATGAAGTATTGAAAAAAAACCTAGATGAAGCCAAGTTGATGGTCACGTGGATGCAAATGTATCCAGTATTGAGATATAGATGCCAAGAATAAAGTGTGATGGTAGAAATATATTGTCATTGACTCATTACTGTTTTGCACTTAACACTTATTTTTGACATCAACAATATCTCAATACTGTTACATCTGTATGTCTCTCACATCTGAGTCAAGGTTGTGGGTTCAAGCCCCATTTTGGGACTTGGAATCACACAGTCTAAAGCTGGGCGGTTCAACTGGCAGCCTATGGAATGATTTCATCTGTCCCGCAAACTTTATGCTGCCCGCACTCTCCCTCCCTGGCAAACTACTCTTATGACATTGGCAAGAACCGATGGTGGGAGGAAGCGGTTGGTAACGAGACCTGCTTTGTTGGCATTCTGACGTGAAAAGTGCGCTGTTCAAATATTATGTTCTTTCTGGGAGGGAAACAAACATATTGCGTATGTGGCCTGCAGAGGTTTTTCAAATCTGTCATCTGACCCTCAGCAGCCAAAAGGTTCGTTCCACACTGATTCAGCAGATCAGTCGACTTACTAGCTATCTATTGACCATCTCTTTATACTGTACTAACTTAGAAAAAGCACATGCTACAGTGTAATTATAGACTGACAACAAATTTGTTTATGATTGTTGTCATAATACCTAAATAGAATCATGACAATCTTTTGAACTTCAGACTCACATGGAGTTGTGATGTAATCTTGGAGGCATTTGAGTTTCTCCTTGTAGTTTCCTATTACATTCTAGAAGCTCAGAATTGATGAGAAGAAAGACTGCTACCAGTAGACATAACACTTCAAACCAAAGTTTAAAACGTGGTAGTGTCATTTTTGCGTTAATTAAATGCACATCAGGGGCAGCAGATAATGAAGTGATAATGTACAAAGAAGTCTGAATTGAATTGCTCCAACATTTGTGTACTTACATGTAATAAGAAATGACTAAATGGAGGTGTGACAATTGTTCACAAAATCATACAGCACAGAAAGAGGCCATTCAGCCCATCGGGTGTGCGCCGGCTCCTAAAAGAGCAATCCAACTCAATCCCACTGACCCGCTTTCTCTCCATAGCCCTGCAATCCTGTCCTCCCCAAATATCCCATCTACTTGTCCCTTAAAAGTTGTTATTGAATCGGCTTTCTGGGAGGGTAATGCATTCCAGATCCGAACAACACGCTGGGTGAAATTTTTTTTNCCAACCTCCCCTCTTTCTTTTAACAACTATCTTAAATCGGTGTCCTCGGATTGCTGTTGGATAACAGATTTTAAGTAGCAGTTTTCCTGTACGTACACAGTCCCTGTGCTGTCTGGGAGTCCTGCCAAGTTCATTAAATTTTAAAGGAAGAAAAAAAATATGAATATTGTAGCTACAAATTGCACTGATTAAGAACAACTTAAGGGATACATTTTACTATGTAGATACAAATCAAATGATTGTCAGACAGGTTACCTGTTCCTTTGAAAGTGAGTTCGGGCATTTGGGAGAGTATCTTGTTGCCAACATATACCCTCTTCCTGATTTGACAAATAAAATGTTAGAGATTGAGATGGAGTTGATCTAATAGGATGGTGGAACAGCCTTGCAGGGCTGAATGGGCATGGCCTATTCCTGTTCTTATGATTGAAACTTGGACAATTATAGCTGTCATTAAAACAAACCTTACATCCTATGTTCAGCTCCCAAAGTGAATTTTGCCCATTGCACCACCCAGTTCCGTTGATCATGATTTTTTAGATAATTTGTACCTAAAAGATTTTTGTGTGTTTTACATTAAACGCAAAATGAAAATGCAAAAATGTACTTTACACTTAAGTGAAAAGACTTAAATATGTTTAGTGAGGTTTGGCTGTATGTGTTCAGATGAGCATTAAAAAAAAATGGGGAGAATATTTTATGCAGAATCATGAATGCGATGTAATTAGTGACAATATGAAGCATATCTGTGTAAATTATATTTAAAATTATTTTTGAATAAGAAATACCAGATTAAACATTGGGTATGATAGTTTGATCCTATTCTGATCCAAAATCCAAAATATTTATGTATGCCAGGTGAAAAGTGATATGGTGGTTTGGTTATAATGTTATCACGGTTCTGTTGCTCACCAGCTTTGGTACTGGTTTCCTGTAGCACTGGGGTGCAACCCTATCAGTCTTAATATTTATGAATGCAAAATAGACTTTGTGAATAATGGAAGACCTTCTTCAAAAAACATTTTTAATGACAAATAATAGTCCTATTTTTTTAAATAGAATTTTTCACACCAGAAGGATGCCTCAAATTGCTTCACAGGATTTTACTGCAAGTGTGATTATTTTGTAGGCAGACACAGCAGCCGATTTCCACATAGCAAATGGCCCATGTTTAGCCATGAAACGAATGTATACATTCAATATGAAGTTCTTGTCAGTAGCTTTTATTAAGGTATTAAGATTAGCTATGATCAGATTTAAATTCAAACAAGTTATTTTAATCCAGTGCAAAATTAGTAAGGTTACATTTGGAATACTGCATGCAATTTTCGATACCTTATTTTCAAAAAAATTGTGCCTGAATGGTTCAGGGACTTTTTGCTGTAAATTATGAGAGACTGAATTTTTCATTGGTGAAAAGATTGAAAGGATGGTGAGTGGTATGGATAATGTGGATGTAAGAAGCCTACTTAACCGCAGAATTACAGAGTTGTTCAAGATTAGTAAACCTGATGAGATTAGAAATAATTGGAAGAGAATAGGCTCCCAGCAAAAAGCAGTTAATATGTTAATTACTTCCTTTAAAAGTTGTCTCATAAATATCTGTGTGAGAACGGGATAAAGACCTAGAAGGATGGGCACAGAAAATCAACAGCACTATGGACAGATAATATGCTGAGCCCACTGAACTTGGAAATTCAGTCACTACACTTGGACAACAATTATCTATGAAGTGTTTTTAGACATTTTTGATGATATAGGCACGATGTGAAATCCATGGACCACTTATTTATTACCTTATATCATATCAATTTCTCTTTTGCAATTTGATGACCTGAACGTGGACACAGAATTAAATTTGCCAGTATGAGATTTTTTACAATGGCCTGTTTCTGTGCTGTACATTCTTTGCAAATCATCTTCAAAACCTCTTCGATTGAATGAGGTTTTAAAGATGAGACCCATGATCTTCTTCGATTCTGGTCTATCGTTCATTTCTCAGTTCTTCCACCCCACCAATGCAGAAATGATACCCCTGCCCTCTGACCTTCCTCTCCCTTGTGTTTCAAAACTCCCTTAAAATATATCTATTGTACAAATGCTTATGGTCAGCATCCTAATTCCTTCTTTCTGCTTTGCGTGTTTCATTATATTTGTCAAGTACTTTGAGGCATTCATTCTGTGTGAACATGCTATTAAGGTTGCAAACCCTAGTGAAAAATGCTTCAGTTTTAAATATTGGTGCTCTATTATTTGTTGTACTGATAAGGGCTCCCAATATACCTCATTTAAACTTGTGGAATGCACAATTATATAATGTTGGATTATTGCCAGTGTAACTGAACAACAATCACTGGTAAATCATCTTACACCCACACAGTGCAATCTACAAATTTGTTTCTGATATTAAATATATCCTGCGGTTTAACTTTTAAGACTGTCCCTTTTCATCCTAATATATATTTTAACATGAAACTAGGTATTACAGAAACTGCCAATTTATAAAATCAAATGGGATAGGTCTAAAGTAATGTGCATGAAGATGCACTGAGTTTTGCTTGATAACTCTTCAGGTAACGCTGAGCACACAAAAATCATAGCTTGGTCATGGCTCTTGCAAATGGGCCAAAGAAAACACATGCAAAATCACGCTTAATAGTATCCAAACCAAACAACTAAGAGTTCTGTGTATGCATGCAAATTTTAATTTTGTCTGGAAAAGAGAGCACACTCTCTTCCTGGAGGGACACACTCTGCTCACCTAATTCCTGAAAGTTTAGGTTGGGAAAAGCCAAGGCTTCGGGGTCTCAGGTGTGTGTTGAGATGCTGCTGAAGTATCTGTCCCTTGTGAGCCAGGCTAACTGATTTTACACCAATAGTGCCTTGGAGTACTATGAACCACCTCGCTCAGGACCTGGACTAAAGAGATCACCCCATAGTTTTGACTCAATTTTGTTATTCCATTGCCAGACACATCAATTCAGCCCCAAAGAGTTTTCTCTCCGCTCCCCTCCAGAGAATAAATAGTAAATAATACTTGCATTTGATATAGTGCCTTATCATGTCATTGAGACACCTCAAAGCACTTCACAGAATATATTGTAAAGTGTATTTGTGGGTGAAACTGGCAGCCAATTGCACATAGCAGTGTCCCACAAACATAAGATTAACAACTGGGTTCCTACTTACTGCTAGGTAAACAGAGGCATGTGGA